GCTAAATTCCTGCGGAGGGGCGAGCTGGCAGGCCGGCTCCTCCCCCTCTGGGCAGCGGGGTCCCGCCTCCCCTCCCCCACTGTTTGGCAGCGTCTGGGGGTCTGGGGCAGCTTCGTTCATTCACCCGGGGGAGTTGGGTTTCCGGGAAGGGTCGGAAGCTCCTCCCTCGCTTCATGGTGGGTAATGGGGTGGTGCCTTTGACTCCGGGGGTGGAAAAGCGACCCCACATTCAAGGACGCCAGTGGCATTTTGAGCTTTACCAATCTAAACCAGGTGCGTGGAGGGAAGAAAGTGCTTACTCCCAGCTTGAATCCTGAGCAGCGGTTCTCTAACTTTAGTGTCCTGTGGGCGACACCTGAGAGGCGGTTAGTAACGCTCCTCCTAGGGCCCTCCATAAGACCTGCTGAGCCTCAGGGTCTGGGATAGAGCCTGGGAATCTGCGCTTTCACCGGCTTACCAGGTGATTGAAACGCAGTGGCTCACGGACCCCACTTTGAGAAACGCTGACTGGGGTGCTTGCCTTCAGAAGCTGGACTGGAATGGGTACTTTGAGGAGAACTGAATCCACTTTGCAAAGAATGTATGTTGGACAAAGACAAAGTGTCTCTGTTGAGAGACATTGTTCACTGAGGATTAGCAAGGGAGAGCGTAATTTGAGTGTTTGAAGCCGCTTCGTTCAACTGATGGGGGTTGTGAATTTTGTGTTCAGAGCGTCAGAGGACCTGCAGGTGAAATAGCTTCCTTTTGGATTGCACCCACAAAGCTCAGAGACTTTGAGACATACTCGTGTGACATCTGCTGATACCAGTAGTAACAGGTTATACTAAGATGTCAGTTCCTAAGATCTGTCACACAGGGAGGTTGTGGTGCAGATAGCATAAGTGTCTCTTGACACTCTAGTTTATATGTAATTGTCGTAATTCAGTTTTAATGATGAGTGAAGCTCAGACTTAATTTTCTGTCTTATTTTGAAGTGAGTTTTCTGCGTCAAAGGTGTTGTGCAAAAAAAAAAAAAAAAAAAAAGACCGTATGGGGGGTGGGGTTGATACAAACCTGAAGTACACCTTTTTCTTTCTCGAAGTCTGTAAAAGTTACTGATTTATAAAAACTGAAGGAATTTGGGCTACAGAATTTTCATTGGTGCTTGCTGTCCTCTTCCCTAGTCATTTGTTGCCCAGGGAACAAAAATAGCAATTGTTTGTATGCTGAAGTTTTGTGCTTCAGTTTATTTTGGCCTGGCATGTGAAGTTTGAAGATTTTGAGGTTCCGAAATATTTTCTTTTTCCTGATTCAGTCAAAATTGGAAGCTCGGGCTAGTTTTCAGGATCTTGTAGAAATTTCAGGATTTCTCTAATGGTTCTTTACCTGGAAACAAATATAGGCCTGATGGGGAATGGGAGAGAGCTCTCATTCTCCTGGACGATGAGTTTTGTGTGTTCATTGACATTGTCCTTGGCGTTCCTGTTAATGCTGGTGTTTATGACCCTGGGCACCCAAGGAAATTTGCTTGCCAGAGTTTTACTTGTTAGAGGTAGGTGAAAGTACCTTTAAATCCTATGTTATTTATGTCTTGACAGAATTATAAAATCTGTTTCAAAGTTGTGTTGGCTCTTACTAGTTGACTTTAGGAATTTGGGGTCCACTGTGAAGTCTCTTTAGATTCTCGAATTTACTGTGGTCTGAACTTCAACATCAAGGTTGCTCTTTCTGTTTTATCATTGACTTCAAACCGGATTATCAGAGTAAGTTATTTCTCTTTTTCTTCTAAGGCTCTTCATTAAAAATAGTAATATGAATAGGAATTACCTTGTTTTTGTTTGTTTGTTTTGTTTGTTTGGAGTTTCTCTCTTGTTGCCCAGGCTGGAATGCAATAGCACCATCTTGGCTCACCGCAAGCTCTGCCTCCCAGGTTCAAGTGATTCTCCTGCCTCAGTCTTCCCTAGTAGCTGGGATTACAGGCATGTGCCACCATGCCCCGCTAATTTTGTATTTTTCGTAGAGATGGGGTTTCTCCATGTTGGTCAGGCTGGTCTTGAACTTCTGACCTCAGGTTATCCACCCACCTTGGCCTCCTAAAGTGCTGGGATTACAGGCGTGAGCCACCGCACCTAGTCTATGAATAGGAATTACTTTATGGTGGTGTTATACATGTGAAAAAGGATTTGTGAGACTTTGGGAGGCTGAGGCAGAATAATCACTTGAAGCTAGGAGTTCAAGATGAGCCTGGGCAACATAGACCTGGTCTCTACAACAGCAGAAACAAAATGAGCTGGGCATGGTGGTGCACACCTGTGGTCCTAGCTACTTGGGAGGCTGAGGAGTTGGAGGCTGCAGTGGCCAATGACTGATTGTGCCACTGCGCTCCAGCCTGGGTGATAGAGGGAGATCCTGACTCTAAAAAAATAATGAGGCTGGGCGTGGTGGCTCATGCCTGTAAATCCCAGCACTTTGGGAGGCTGAGGTGGGTGGATCACAGGGTCAGGAGTTCTAGACCAGCTTGGCCAACATGGTGAAACCCAGTCTCTACTAAAAATACAAAAATTAGCCAGGTGTGGTGGTTCATGCCTGTGATCCCAGCTACGTGGAGGGGTAGGGGGCGCTGAGGCAGGAGAATCGCTTGAACTTGGGAGGTGGAGGTTGCAGAGAGCCAAGGTCATGCCACTGCACTCCAGCCTGGGGGACAGAATGAGACTCCGTCTCAAGAAAAAAAAAAAAAAGGACTCATGAGAATGTGATATGTAATTTGTGTATCTTTTGTGTGTTTTTTGTTTTAGAATTTTCCATTTCTTTGGATGGGACTGGATGGTAGGTAAGGGGGAACTTTTTAAGAGTCCTAGACTGGGCGCGGTGGCTCACGTCTGTAATCCCAGCACTTTGGGAGGCTGAGGCAGACGGATCACCTGAGGTCAGGAGTTCAAGACTAGCCTGGCCAACATGGTGAAACCCTGTCCCTACTAAAAATACAAAAATTAGCCAGGCGTGGTGGTGGTGCATGCCTGTAACCTCCGCTACTCAGGAGGCTGAGGCAGGAGAATCACTTGAACCCGGGAGGTGGAGGTTGCAGTGAACCGAGATTGTGCCACTGCACTCCAGTGGCAGCAGTGAGACTCCATCTTAAAAACAAAATAAAAGAAAAAAATAGCCCTCTTAATGTTTAAAAAAAGTTTCTGTAACACTGTGTGCTGGAGAATTTGTGAGAGCTTAACACTGGACTGAGAGAAACTTGACCAGGAGGGAACGTAGGACAGTTGAACATTAGAACACCTGAACACTACTCTTCTCTTTGGGCAGGTGAATTTGGACTCCTTGCAATGGCAATTGTATGCACTTCCTTGGGAACACTTTCAGATTGTTCCTGACCCCAGGAGCAATCTGGTGACTAGAGTGTTACTGGGAATCCTTTTAAAGAATTGTTTTTGCAGAGGAAAGAAGATTCTTCTTGAGAATTTCAGTGTAGTATACCCCAGGAGATTGATTTTTGCAGATGTTTATGCTGTTGAAAAATAGATGCTCTTTCTTTCACACATTTTGTAGTATTGTCTTTTCTAGATGTAAGACGTAGACCTTACGTGGTTGGGTGGATATCTTCCAACTTGTTATGAACAGTTTGTTTGGGAGAAATAGCCAAGGGGATTTCCCTTTAAATTGAGGACCCTAAATGGATTCTCCCTGGCTCTGAGAAACTCTTTGTTGCATGCTTTATCTTTTACTTTGATTCGTGACTGACCAGTTCTTACATCAAACATTTTTTTTCCCCTTTGAAGTAAGAGAAGACTTTTTTTTTTTTTTTAAATGTAGTCTAGAAAGAGACTAGGAATAGAACACTGCTGACTTGTTCTTATACCAAAAGCTGGAGGCATAAACAGTTTTAATAAAAGTGAATGCTTTGTATCTTTTGATGTAACTTCCCTTTAGAGATTCTGTTTCCCCTGTCTTAAATTCTCAGGCTATTTCTGATTGCTGTTTAAATAATTGGTAGTTACTATTTGAGTCATGCTTCTTTTAAAAAATGCACAAAAATTCGCTAGCTCAGCTTTCATTTAGTTAGTATCAAAGAAATGATATCTGTGGCAGTGAACATTAGTAGCTTGTTCCAGGGTTTATTGTAGGTTTGTTCAAGTCAGTACTGCCTGTCTTGGCACTTAGGTTCTTGGAATACAAAGGTGGATGAGGTTTGCCCCCTCAGGGCTTATGGTCGTCTGGGGGTGGAGAAGGTCCAGACACAGGAACAGAATTTTACTGTAATCATGATACATGTTATCATAGTTGTATAAATCATAAACAGATATCCCAGTTGCTGCCTCTTGTCCAGTCAAAATTATGAATAGTTTCTCCTTTCAACTGTCCTGGTTTGGAAGATAATTGTATGTGTTATGAAACAATGGGGACATTGAAAAGAGACTTTTACTTCTGCCTGGCAGAGATCAGGGAAGGCTTCCTGGAGGAAGGTGCTTTCTGAGCTCAATCTTGAAGGGTAACTAGGAGTTAGGCCAGTCACAGAGGGCATAAGCAGGAGCTGGTGACAACACATAGCAGGAGAGAGAGAAAGAGAAAGGGTGAGAGGGAGTGTGTGTATTTGCAAAGTGTGAGAATTAGCTATATCTACAAATTATTGGAACATAAAGTTTGTGGAGTGTCATTGTGGATGGGTAGAGACAGGCAGAGACCAGATTGTGAGGGTTCCATATGTCAGGCCAGTGAGCACCTACTCTGTGCCAGGCACTGTAAGCATTACTTACATTGTCTCTAATCTGTTCAATAACTCTGAGAGGAAGACATCAGTATCCTTCAAAAGAGAACCTAGGTTCAGGTTGGGTTGTAATTTGCCCTAGTTTAGAACGTAAGAATTTGAATCTAACTCTAGATCCTGTTCTTTACCAGTGGGCCAGGGGACTTTGGAAGCTTCAGCTTTTGCAGTATGTGATTAAGGAGCTGTTGAAGGATTTTATTTGCTTTCTATTTTTATTACTATTTTTTGAGACAGAGTCTCATTCTGTCACCGTGGCTGAAGTGCAGTGGCGCCATCACAGCTCACTGCAGCTTCCACTTCTGGGCTCATGATTCTCCCACCTCAGCCTCCTGTGTAGCTGGGATTACAGGCATGCGCCACCATGCCCAGCTAGTTTTTTATATATTTTTCTAGAGACAGGGTTTCACCATGTTGCCCAGGCTGGTTTTGAACTCCTAGGCTCAAGCAATCTGCCCACTTTGGCCTCTCAAAGTGCTGGGATTACAGGTGTGAGACACTTTACCCAGCCATATATTTTTTTAGATTCTTTTTTTTTTTTTTTACTTGAGATGGAGTCTTGCTCTGTCGCCCAGGCTGGAGTGCAGTGGCGCGATCTCAGCTCACTGCACTCAGCTTCTCCCGCCTCAGCTTCCCGAGTAGCTGGGACTACAGGCGCCCACCACCATGCCCGGCTAGTGTTTTTGTACTTTTTAGTAGGGACGGGGTTTCACCATGTTAGTCAGGATGGTTTCGATCTCCTGACCTCGTGATCCACCCGCCTCAGCCTCCCAAAGTGCTGGGATTACAGGCATGAGCCACCGCACCTGGCCCCCATTTTCAGAAATTCTTTAAAGAGATGAGGTTTCACTGTGTTACCCAGGCTGGAGTGCTGTGGCTATACACAGGCAGGATCATGGTGCACTACATCCTGGAGCTCCTGAGCTCAAGTGACCCTCCTGCCTCAGTCTCAGCTGGGGCTATAGGTGTGCACCACTGTGCCTGGCCTGTTGAAGGATTTTAGAGTTAAAAGTGATGAGGGCAGGTTTGCTTTGCTGGGTTGACCTCAGGCTATAACATGTAAGTTCTACCAGAGCAGGGGTTTGGTCTTGTTTACTGTGAATCCCTAGAATTGTGCCTGGCACAAGGTAGGTGTTGCATGTGTTTGTTGATTGAAGGATGACAACAGAGTCAGAATGGATTTGAGGAAAGCAGGACTGGATGGAGGGATAGACATTAAGAGGCTGTTGTGTTGGGTCAGGAAAGAGACTGGTTTTGGGACTTGGGGGACAGATGAGAGAGAAGCATGACACCTGCGTTTCTGAATTAGGTGATTATACAGGCTGTCAATCAAGGTAGGGAATACAGGAAGAAGAGTGGGTCTGGAGAAGAGGTGAATTAGAATTGCCAATTAGATGAATTAAGAGTAGAGCTGAATTAGAGTAGATAATGAAGGGGTACAATCAGTACACAACTGAATATTTGAATCTGAAATTTGGGGGAGACGTCAGGGCTAGAGGTAGAGATTAGATAGTTATCAGAATTTAGGTAGTGGCTGAAACTGAGATGATAATGTTACCCGTGGAGAATGGAAAATCTGAAAAGAGAAGCAAAGAATAGGATCATGAGAAATAGGGGTTTTATTTTAGTACCTTCTCCAAACCTTGACTTTAGTGCTGAGGTCTTATGTTCTTCCATAGAGTACCTTCCGCAGCAGACCTGTCAGACAAGATCGGGCACGTCCAGGGTGGTATGGCCGCAGACAGCAGTGTCCTATCAGACTTACTGCTTTATGTGTTGCTTGTGACAGCAGTACTTGGTTATGGTAGTTAAATGGACTGTAAGATGTTAGCTTGATTTGGAGTACCCTCAGTAGCTGCACAGGTAGACAAAGTACAAAGATATTGACAGCTTTTTTCCTCTTTTAGAAGAATAACATATCTAAGAACTCTTAAAGCAAGAGAGCTGCAGTTGCACACTAAGAAAATACTGCAATACTGCCATGACTTGGTTATAGATGATGCTAACATAAATGGGATATTCTGCTTCTCATTGCACCAGTCATGCAGAATCATAGCATCATATTGCCAAATGGCAGAACGTACTGTGGCAGTTAACACCACAGATTAACAACACAGTGGCAAAAAGCACCGTTTAAAAATATGGGTACTTGGTCGGGTGTGGTGGCTCACTTCTATAATCCCAGCACTTTAGGAGGCTGAGGTGGGCAGATCACCTGAGATCAGGAGTTCGCCTGGCCAACATGGTGAAGCTCCGTCTCTACTAAAATACAAAAGCATTGGTGCAGTGATTCTTGGACTTTTATGTGCATAAGAATCACTTGGTAGGTCTGGAATAGGGGCCATGAATTTGCACACATATATATATGTATGTATAGGTAGTAATTAAACTTCCTTGGGAAAGAAAATGTGAATGCATTTCTGTCTCATGTTTCTTGTGCAGTGCTATATATTCTGTGGTTTAGCAGTATTAACAGCATCAAGTTAAACAGTAACCAATGTTGCTAAGGTCTGACTATACAATGTATGCTGAGAAGATATGCATCCTTAGAATTGAGAATTTGAACATTTCAGTTAATTGCAGTAACTTTCAGTAACTGGATATATGTGTGATTTGATTTCTGAAGTAATTTTAACTGTGGAAAAAGTTGTCACCAGTGGTACCTCATAGCAGAACTTTAGCCCATGATATATGGACGGATGGATATAAATGGAAATTGCACACTGAAATTAGGACGTTTATATTTCTTCAGGTTTTAGAAAACTACTCGGATGCTCCAATGACACCAAAACAGATTCTGCAGGTCATAGAGGCAGAAGGACTAAAGGAAATGAGGTTTGTATTGTTCTTGTTGCTTAATGTGAGGGTTTCATAGGACATGTGTCTTTCTGTAGTTGTGTAGTGATATGAGTAAGTAAACGTGTGTATATGTTTGTGCTTCTGTGTCTGATAGTGAAGCAGAACTATCCATTTCCCAAATTGTGTGTCGTCTGAGTGGAGGGGTAGCAGTGGGTGAACATCTATTTGTTTTCATTTAGAGGTGCAGTGGCTTTCCCCATCTCCTTGCTCTTCCTTAAATCTTGGCATAGAGCTTGTTTTTTGTGTAAGGAGGCAGGGCACATTTTCTCTCGTGCTGTTGCAGAAGTTTCAGACCTGATAGCCTCTATTGTGGCTAACACTACCCTTTTCTCTATGCTGTATCCCTGAAGTTCTTTTAGGATAAAAGAACGGTGGTCTCATCAACATAAAAAACCCACTGACTTTTTTCCCCCTACTAATTCCAGTCACATATTATATGAATTTACTAAATTTTGAGGTGACCTTTGTTTTCTAAATTTATGGCATAGTTTTCCTGGAGAAGTAACAAGTTAGAAACATAGAATTGCTGGCCTGAAAGCCAGTGACTATCTTTAATCTTTCTTTTTCCTTATCCTAACTTCAAACTTTTTAAAAAAAAAAAAAAAAGGCCTGAGTGTGATGGCCCACGCCTGTAATCCCAGCACTTTGGGAGGCCAAGGCAGGCAGATCACTTGGGGTCAGGAGTTCAAGACCAACCTGGCCAACATGGCAAAACCCAGTATCTACTAAAAATACAAAGATTAGCCGGTGTGGTGATGCACGCCTGTAGCCTGTAGTTCCAGCTTGGGAGGATGAGGCTGGAGAATCGCTTGAACCGGGGAGACGGAGGTTGCAGTGAGCTGAGATTGTACTGCTGCACTCCAGCCTGGGCGACAGAATGAGACTCCGTCTTAAAAAACGAAACAAAACAAAACAAAAAAAAGTCCTTAAATGAGGAAGGAGGAGAGCACTACACAGTCCCTGCCTGGGACTCAGAGCAAACTTCATGTTTTTGCTAGTCAAACTTAGCAAATTGACCTTTTAGGGTCAGAAGGCCCTCACTTTCCTGTTGTCAGTTCAAACATTCTCAAGTTGATGTTTTGTGGGGAGGGAAGATTTAAGATTGTCTACATCACATTTATTTGACTTGTACTTATCCACTGTGTAGTGTTATAATTGTGCTTTATTTTTGTTTTTATGGGCTATTTCCCATCATGCTGCTGTCTGCATTGCTGTTGGACCACTTTGCCTATAGAAGGTAAATGAGTCCCTTTGGGACATATGGAATTGAAAACCTTAACTTGTTTCTGCTTCTTGTTCTTAGAGGTATTATGAAGCAGTCATGGTGGCTCATGATGAGTGAGCAGCTCTGTAATTTGTAGACAGAGGTATAATATGTAGGAGTCACAGAAGAGCTGTGCCAGCATGCTGTTCTCCTTGTAGCAGAGATGCTAGCACACCCACTTGATACTCCAGATTTTGCACAAGGTTTCTTTTAGAGATTGGTTCTTGGTGAAAAATTTTTTAGCATCCAGTGTGTTCCAAGGCAAAATAAGTAATAGTTTTTTAATGGTTTTTTTAGACTCAGAATTTATTTTTAACACTGCATAAATTAGGGCCTCTAGTTCTGAAACATGCGAAGAGGCTTACTTAAGCTATTTATATATTTTTTAACATGCTGGGGAGAGGGAAAAGAGGGTGCACAGGTGAGTCCTAGCACTAATATGCTAGTGCCAAACTCAGTTAATATTAGTAATGGGCATTTGTTGATTTTTTTGGTAGCTTTTCTATTTTAAGATTCAGTAAGTAGCATCCTTCGCACTGAACTGTCACTGTTTCGCAACCTGCTGTTGTGGTAAGGACCATGAAACAACTGAGTATGCCATTGTTTCAGTTTAATGTTTAAGCATTACTGGGAACTAAATCCACTTGACTGTCTTTTTGCATTTAGGTTTAAATAATTGTTCCCGCGTAGATACAGAATAAAACTCAATCTCCCCACTCCCAACAGAGAAAAAAAACAAATGAAATACTGTTCTTTTTGTTTACTTACTAGAAAATGTTTAACTGGAAAAAAAGTTCTGCTTGTTTTATTGCCAAAGGACCATTGATTTTGTGATTCTTTGTGATAATCTGTGGCAGTTTCTGAGTATGATATGTAAATTGAAATATAGAAGCTAGGAAGCTTTTAATAGTAAAATTTTATTAAAATTTTATTTATTAAAATATAATTTGAAAAAATTGTGTGGTTTTTCTAAATTTCTTGAAAATTTGATTTATATTGTCAAAAAGCACTGAAGAAGTGTTAGGTATGGATTTCAAGTATCACATAATGTTTATTCCAGAGTTCCCTGAGTGTGATTTATGTGAATTTCATTTGGTTATTCTTTTACTATTTTCACAGTGAAATTGTCATGAGATTTTTTCTTTTGTATTTCTTGCTTAGCTTTTTCTCATTTAAGAATGAATTGGAGGGATTAGGTCTTTAGGCAGATGGATTGTATGACCCTCATCCATTCTTTTGTGGTTTTACAGTGGGACGTCCCCTCTCGCATGCCTCAATGCTATGCTACATTCCAATTCAAGAGGAGGAGAGGGGTTGTTTTATAAACTGCCTGGCCGAATCAGTCTTTTCACACTCAAGGTAAGTGATATAAACTCTGTCTTGGTGCACTGATTCTTGGACTTTTAATGTGCATAAGAATCACCTGGTAAGTCTGGAATAGGGGCCATGAATTTGCATTTCTTATGCAGTCAGATGACACTGATGTTGTTCTTTTTTTATTTTTTGAGACGTAGTCTTGCTCTGTCACCCAGGCTGGAGTGCAATGGGGCGAGATCTTGGCTCATTGCAACCTCTGCCTCCCGTGTTCAAGAGATTCTCCTGCCTCAACCTCCCAAGTAGTTGGGACTACAGGCACGTGCTACCACGCCCAGCTAATTTTTAAATTTTTTTAATAGAGACGAGGTTTCGCCATGTTGGCCGGGCTGGCCTCGAAATCCTGACCTCAGGTGATCCACCTGCGTCGGCCTCCCAAAGTGCTGGGATTACAGGCATGAGCCACCACACCTGGCCAGATGCTGTTAGTTGTAAATGGCACTTTGAGGTGTTCGAATATGAATCGGATATTAGAAATTATTTAGTCATAGCAGCTCTTGTCTGTGTGTTCATCTTTGCTTGTCTGTATCTTTGTAGGTTGTACAAAATTGAAGCATAACTATGTATGGGGATAATTGCAGATGTGCCTTTTTTTTTTTTTTTTTTTTAAATTCTGAGATGGAGTCTCGCTCTGTTGCCCAGGCTGGAGTGCAGTGGTGCAATCTCAGCTCACTGCAACCTCCACCTCCCAGGTTCAAGCAGTTCTGCCTCAGCCTCCTGAGTAGCTAGGATTACAGGCGTGCACTACCATGCCCAGGTAATTTTTGTATTTTTAGTAGAGACGGGGTTTCACCATGTTGGCCAGGCTTGTCTTGAACTCCTGACCTCATGATCTATCTGCCTCAGCCTCCCAAAGTGCTCGGATTACAGGCGTGAGCCACCGCGCCAGGCCACAGATGTGCCTTAATTAGGATTTTGTTGTAGTAATTATGTGTAGAATAAATTACTGGGCAGCTAAAGTAAGACCTACTGTATGGAAAATAACTGAAATGTGAACATAGTTGTGGAAATTCAAAAACTCATTAACATTTACTAAGTGACAGTAATTATAAAGGAAGAGTACTTAAATCAGGTAGAGTTCATAATAAAGCTTAAATAGGGCTGAAATGAACAGGCTAATTATTTTTCCACCATTTGTGATATATATGGCAATCATTTAGACCAGGGGTCTGAAAACATTTTCTGTAAAGGACCAGAAAATCAATGTTTTTCGTTTTGTGGATCATACTGTCTTTGTCTTAAGCACTCAGGTCTGTCCTTGTAGTAGGAAAGCAGCCATACCCAAATGAATGGGCATGGCTGTGTCCCAATAAAAAAAAAAAAAAAGAGTATTTTGTGTACAGATGTTTGTTTTACTTATGAAAACAGGCTGCAGGTGAGATTTGATTTGGGGCTCTACTTTGCCGACCCCTGATTTAGACATAAGATGACTTGTCGACATTGGAGAAACTGAGAATTTGATGCTGACCCTTTCATTCTTCCATAGTGTGTTATAAATTGTAGCGGTCAGTACAAACTTTTTTCTTTAAGTTGTGTTTTCTTGATGGACTGTATTCAAAATAAATACCTGAACAAATACCAACTATAAAACATGAAGCCATAAAACTTGGTCTTTATATATAAATAAAGTTTGTCTTGTGGTCAGATATCTGTGCTGTTTTCTATATTGTTTTTATATCCAGTAGTTTGGTCTTCTTTTTCCTTTCAGTTTTGCATACTTTTCTTGTGATTGAGCCTTGGAAGAGACAGAGCCACTGAGCTCAAAACCTAGCTTTGTAGGGTCGAGTGTGGTGGTTCACACCTGTAATCCCAGCACTTTGGGAGGCTAAGGCAGGAGGGTTGCTGAAACTCAGGAGCATGAGACCTTGTCTCTATTTTAAAAAAAAAAAGCCTTGCATGGTGGTGTGTGTGCGGTGGTGTGTTTGCTTGTAATCTTAGCTACTCAGGAGGCTGAGGCAGAAGGGTAGCTTGGAGATAGAGGCTGCAGTGAGCTGTGATCACACCACTGCTCTCCAGCCTGGGCCACATAGCAAGACCCTGTCTCAAAACGAAAACCTAGCTTTGTAACTTGGGAGGGATTTAACCCCTCTTTTTGATGGAATGTGCATCCCTGGCATTGAGTCAGTCCTTAATAAATGATAGCCTTTATGATGATCTGAGGTTTATCATCCTTAATTGCCTGTTAATAGCACTTTTCTATTAATATTATGTATTTTTTGAGACAGGGTCTTGTTCTGTCACCTGGGCTGGAGTGCAGTGGCACAATCACAGGTCACTGCAGCCTTGACCTCCTAGGCTCAAGTGGTCCTCCCACCTCAGCCTTCTGAGTAGCTAGGACTGCAGGCACATACCACCATGCCTGGCTAATTTTTTTGTATTTTTTGTGGAGAAGGAGTTTTGCCATGTTGCCCAGGCTAGTCTCGAACTCCTGGGGTCAAGCGATCCACTGACTGTGGCCTCCCAAAGTGCCAGGATTACAGACAGGAGCCACTGCACCTGGCCTATTATTTTTTAATGTAATATTAATTTATATTTTTAGAAACAGGGTCTCACTCTGTTGTCCACAGCTAGAGTGCAGTGGTATAATCATAGCTCACTGTAGCCTTGAACTCCTGGGCTCAAGCAGTAGTGTCACCTCAGCCTCCCGAGTGGCGTACACCACCACTCGGCTAATTTTTAAATTTTTTTGTAGAGATGAAGTCTTGCTATGTTGGTTAAACTGGTCTCAAACTCCTGGCCTCAAGTGATCTTCCCACCACAGCTTCACAAAGCACTGGGATTACAGGTGTGAGCAACCATACCTGGCCCTCTATTATCATATATATAGTGTACTGTTACATATGTTGTAATTATATACAGTTGTAATTATTTAATACATATTATATGTTTATTACAAATATGCCTGTTAATGGTATATTCTATTTTTAAAAGGAAGGATAGTTACTTTTTTCTATGAGTATCTTAAGGGCAGGAACTGAGTTTTATTTATATTTGTAATTTGGCTCTGGGCAGAATTCTTGCTTGGCATAGTACATGCTTTATGCGTGAACTGAATTATATTTCTTCATCTTAATTTTACAGACATGAGCCACTGCACCAGGCCCCTTCATCTTAATTTTAATATATCTTTGAATAAACACCATTGTATGAACCTGCTGTAAGCTTGGGAGTGGTCTGTTAGTCTACAGCTTGTGTCTGAGATGTGCTAATTGAATATTTGCTCAGTACGTCATCTTAACTGCCTTTGGCTTTATGTTGCTTATCCTTCATAGTATCTTGTTCATTGGCCTTTTACATCCGTAGGCATCACTTCTCTGATATTCGTTGTGCTCTTATAATGGATTAATGGTTTGCTTGGTTGGTTTCTCTAGGTAGACTGTAAACTCCTTGAGAGCAGAGTCTGTATTTTATTCATTACTCACAGTACTAGGTACATAGTTGCCTTCAATAAATATATATTTAATGAACGAATTTAGTGAATAATGGCTACATTTTTGTACTTTGTTATTCTTTTTTTCTTTTTTTTTCCCTGAGACCATGTCTTGTTCTGTCACCCATACTGGAGTGTGGTGGTGTGATCTTGGCTCACTGCAACCTCCCCCTCCTAGGTTCAAGTGATTCTCCTGCCTCAGCCTCCCGAGTAGCTGGGACTACAGGCGTGCACCACCATGCCTGGCTAATTTTTGTATTTTTAGTAGAGATGGAATTTTACTATGTTGGCCAGGCTGGTCTTGAACTTTTGACCTCGTGATCCATCTGCCTCAGCCTCTCAAAGTGTTGGGATTACAGGCGTGAGCCACCACACCCAACCTTCATTATTCTTTTGACATTTGATGATAAATACTGTTACTAATTTTCTTTTTGTTTTTCTTTTTTTTTTTTTTTTGGTAGAGACAGTCTCACTTTGTTGCCCAGGCTGGTCTTGAACTTTTGGACTCAAACATCCACCCACCTCAGCCTCCCAAAGTGTTGGGATTACAGGCATGAGCCACCTCGTCTGTCCTTGTTCATAATTTTGATGGGCTGGGCGCAGTGGCTCACACCTGTAATCCCAGCACTTTGGGAGGCTGAGGTGGGTGGATCACTTGAGGTCAGGAGTTCAAGACCAGCCTGGCCAACATGGTGAAACCCTGTCTCTACTAAAAATACAAAAATTAACTGGGCGTGGGTGTGCACGCCTGTAATCCTAGCTACTCAGGAGGCTGAGGCAGGAGAATCACTTTAACCCGGGAGATGGAAGTTGCAGTGAGCTGAGATCGTGCCATTGCACTCCAGCCTGGGTGACAAGAGTGAAACTCCATCTCAAAAACAATTTTGATGAAACTGTCCCTAGATTTGCATCTGGCATCTAGCTCATGTCTCAGAGCCAGAATGAAGAATGCTTTCCTCTGGGTTTGGTAGAATTTTAGCTTGGTTAATTATGTGTGTGTCTTAATTTTTTTGACCTATTATAAAAGCAATATACGTAAATGCAACAGAGAAAATGAAAGTCACCCATAAAATTCTACCTGTGGCCAGCTGTGATGGCTCATGCCGTAATCTCGGCACTTTGGGAGGTCGAGGCGGGTGGATCACTTGAGGTCAGGAGTTCGAGACCAGCCTGGCCAACATGGTGAAACCCTGTCTCTACGAAAAATGTGAAAATTAGCTGGGCGTGGTGGCGGGCACCTGTAATTACAGCTACTTGGGAAGGCTGAGGCTGGAGAATTGCTCGATCCTGGGAGGTGGAGGTTGCAGTGAGCTGAGATCGCACCACTGCACTCTAGCCTTGGTGACAGAGACTCTTACCTCAAAAAAGAAAAATTCAGATACCTGTAACCTAAATAATTAATGTTTGAAAAAGTTTCATCATTGCTTGTTTCATTCAGTTAATACATTTTGAACCACTTGCCATGGTGTTACATATAGACATGTCGTGTGTGTGTGTGTGTGTGTGTATGTATGTATGTATGTATGTATGTATTTTATGAGACAGGGTCTCACTT